GGTTTCCGGGCCGCCGCGTTCTTTTTTGGCGCCGGGCCCTGGCACCGGAACCTTGCCCTTGCGCGGGAAGCGGCCCCGCCCCCCGCACTCCCTCCGCGCTTTCCCCCGAAGATGGGAGCCACCTCTTCCTGGGCGAGAGCGGTTTAAAAGGAGGGGTGCGCGGCATTGCCTGCTCGCGTGGAGGAACGGGGGGAGGTCCGTCCACGCGCCCCCAAACCAGGTAGGATCTGACGATGGGCAAGCCGGAGGGGTTTGGTCCGAGACCGCCAACTGTTTTCCATTTGTTGTTCTTGGGGCTACACTTCCCGCCGCCTTGACAAAGGACCGGCTCCTAAATGTGTGTGTGTGTGTGTGTGTGTGTGTGTGTGTGTGTGTGTGTGTTTGCGCGCGCACATTCTGGGTGTCTGGGTGTCTGTCTGGGTGTCCGGGTGTCCGGGGCTCTCGGGGAGGGAGATTGCTCGGGCGCTGTGTCTGGGTGTGAGGGTGCCTCCCCGCCAGTGCCGGCTGCGGGAGAAGAAAGGGCTGCCCGGAGAGATGCTGCACCCTGCGCCGCCCTGGGCTCTCAGGATCGAGGGCGCGAAGATCTAAATCCACCCGGATTGCGGCGCCGCCGGGTCCAGGCATCCCCGCTAACGGGGCTCCGAGGCCACCCCCCTCCTCGCACTCCCCGGGGGCTTCCCCAAGGCCACGCTTGCGAGCGCCCTTTTTTCAGGCGGCGCTGGGTGCCTCTTCGCCACGGACTGCGGAGCAGAGGGAGGTGTGGCCCGGGCCGGGGCTGACAGGGGGGAATGCAGCGGGGAGCGGGCTGAAGGGTCCCCCTTTCTGAGCGCAATGCTGGGTGTGCATTGTGGATTCTGCTCGCACAGGCACTTCCCCCCCCAAGGGATGGGAAGGGAACTTTGCAGCTCCATTATCTGCCTCTGGGGCTTTAGGGAAATGGTCTGTGTTCTGAAATGTGAGGATACCCTTCTTGGCTCCACCTTAAGGAGGAAGAGGGAGGTCTTGTGGGTGGACAGTGGGCTAAAGAACCCAAATCCGCCCAGGCGATGCGCGATGCGCTTTAAAAACACAGTATGTGTGCATCCTTGATTTTTAAATCCCCCCCTCCCACCCCCTTTGGATTCTGTTGACTGATGAATGGTTTGGGCTGGCAATTCATATTTCCCTCTCCAGCCAAGGTGGCAGTGGTTGGGTTAAGGGCAGAGTGATCCCATTTAACAAAGAATTGTTTTAAAGAGAGCGATGTGCATGGTGCCTGCAGTCCCTGGAAAGAAGTCATGCTCTGCACTAGGTATCTATTTTAACCCCCCTTAGCCCGGCTTCCTCGCTGGTGGCTCTCTCACTGCTGCTAGTCAGCCACTGGTGGTTGTGAATATAACAATACAAACTTTGTCCTGCTGGAGGTGTAAAGACTAAAAAGAGAAGAAAGGATATCAGTAGGAGGTGTAGTGGAAGAAGCTCTTTAAACAATGACAGCTGTGGCAAAGACAGTGCAGGCATCTCGATCATGGAGGAGCTGGCAGAGTAGGGAGAGATTCTGATATGATCTGGTTAAAGGCAGAGCTTGAGTCTCTCCAAATATGAGCAAGAGGACATCCACACTCCAGCTTCCGTGTGAAGATTTCCTCAGGGAAACCTTGGGAGCAACCAGGAGGGGATTACAAAGTGTAGGTCCCACCCATGTCCCCAACACACACACACACACACACACACACACACACACACACACACACACTCACTCCTCCCCCCTCACAAACTGCTTTCCAAAGGAGAGAAAGGAGAGAGGAAGATGTATCTAAGGGTTTCATTCATTTCAGATAAGAAAACAAAGCCAACATTGGAATGACTGTCTTTAGGTTCCTCTTTCAAATCCTGTGCTACTTGGATTTAGCCTTGTGGGTTTTGCCAAACTTGCTTAATTGGGAGGCGAGGCTGGTGTGAAAGAAGGAAGGGAGAACTGGCTTCATGGGGGGGGGGGTAGTGGGCTTCGTGAGTGAAAAGGTTGGGGGGGAGAGATTCATTTATTTTGTCAAGAAGCAAGATGTGTTTTCTCAAATGGTTTTCATTTGATAAATTCTGCCTGCTTGAAGGATTCCATTTGGATCTAAGGGCTCTTTAGCTAAGATTTCTCCCAGCCCCTCTAAGAAGATTCATGCTTTTCCCCCTAAAATGGCTGTTGTCATTTATTGAATATGGAATGCTTAATTCCTAAGGAAAAAAAAAACTAGACAAAGGTAAACTACTATTCACTGTTGAGCTGTGCAGACGCTGCAAAGGATGTACGTGTCCATGACAATCAGACTTCATTTACTCTGTCTTGCAAGCTTAGCCGAGTTGGAAGAGGAGAGCAAGGAATGAAGAGAATATGAAGGCAATACTTTATCATCTATTTATCTACCTACCTACCTATCACCTTTCTGTTTACTTTTCACTGTTACTATTTAATTGTTTCCACTGTATCTTTTTGGATTAAGATTGAGAACTAGATAACCCTTTTGCTGACTATGAAGGGGAATAAAATGCATAGCAGTGCAGTATTTTACCTCCAAATACAATCATAGAAGGAAAGTGAAATGTAGTCAGTAACACCTACAGGACTATTTGCAAGAATTATGCTAATTGCTCTTTTAAGCTTACTGTTTTGAGAAAAAAAAATATTCCAAGAAAGCTTCAGCATTTTGTTAGCAAGCTATATTTAACATGTTTTTTATCAGACAAAAATAGACTTTTATTTATCTTGCAAAGTAAACGCATGATTCCTTCCCTCTAAGTACTTAATGTGTTTCTTTGACAAAATAACTGATGAGGAGAGCTCTGCAGATCCAATGAAGTTGCATTCTTCCTTTACAGCCAGTTAAAGCATTTCTTTAACTCACGGACGCGCTTCTTCCAAAGAAAGTGAATTTTCGGACTTTACTATCTGATTTTCATGTTGCAGTTCAGTGAGAGAAGCCCTTTCCTCATGATGCCTTCAGATAGAGGGAGAATAGCGTGTAGGTAAAATGCAGGCAATCTGCCTCATCAGCATGGAACTAGATAAGATCAACACAAAATGGAATTAAATCAGGATGAAGAAATACACAATTAAAACAGGATGGTAGAGCACATATCTTTCATCGTTTGTATTTCTGCAGAGTGTGTGTATGTTGCTTTTAACTGAAAATTAAATTGTTGCTTTACATGTGCTAAAAACTTAGGAATCAACACACAGTAATCTCTCTTTTCTTCCTGATCCTTTCATCCTTTTTAAATGTTATTTTGTCTCCTAAGGGATAAATGTCTGTTGCCAAAACATCTTCCCAATTCATCCAGACCTCATAGTGAGACCCCTCACCAGAAGCTCTACCAAAGTGTCTCCCATCTGACCAAATTCTCCTGCTCCCCCTTGTGGCAAATATTCTCCCTGACTTTCCCTAGGTACCAGAATCCCATCCAAGCATCATTTAGAACTCCCGTAGCTGCCTATCTATCACTTGGATTCGAATTCTCAGTAGTAATTCTAGCTCACCAAGCCAAAGGGTTGCTGAGCAATCGGTTTCCAATTTTCTGTCTGAACAAAGGGGTGTCTAGGGCCTGGAGACACATTTTCGATTTAGACCCATTGGAAGGGAATGATTCTGGGAATGTGAGCTTTTGGAGTCTGCCTGAAATTTTGACTTGGGCTCAGGGCTACTCTGGTGGGACCTCATCAAGTTCAATGGGATTATTTCCAGTTTTCTTTCTCTTCTAAAAAATACCTCTGTATGTGTGTGTGCACGTGCACACACTTCTATCTCTCTTCCTGACTCCCTCTCTCCCTTCAGCCCCTCATTGGCGCACACACAATATATTTTACATAACACATATTTTGAAGACTCAAACTAATCAATGATGAGTGCTCACTAGGGTTTGTAAAGCAAACAGCCCATTTTCTGAACTGGGGACTCTTAGGGTAAGTTACTCTTCCCAGTATGTTTTTGTCAAGAGCAGTTCAGAATACAAATGAGGAGGCTAGTGTCTTTCCCAAGGTGTTGGGTTAACTTGGGAGGTAGATTCTCACAGCCCTCACTGCCTCACGTGTTTTTGGTAGGCTCTCTTTGCGGATAGTTCTGTATTGAACCCTAAGTGTGTTACTAGTATGTCTGTGTCTGTGGTTGTCCTTTGATCTACCCAGCCACGAGAGTGTAGTAAGTAAGTAACAAGATCGACAAAGGTTCATGAGAATCATATTTTCTCTTTGCCTGAAACTTCCTAGCTGGTTTCAGGAGAAGAAGAAGAAAAGTCCTGAGGTGAAGGAAACGTATTTGTGGTCAAGGACAAGTACATTACAGGTAGCAGTCTAAAGTGATATGAGGAGGGCAGAGCATCCCTACGTAGAAGGCATTTATCCATCCGCCAACATAGGATTTGAAATTCTCACTATCAGAGACATTTCTTTGAATAAGTATTTCTACCCAGCTGAGCTATAATAAAAGGCAATATGACTTAAGAAGGAGCACCATTCTCAGAAACCTTTAGAATCTTATTCATTTTTGTACAACTTCAACTGGTTAATAAGATCAGCTGGCAGATAGAAAGGTCCTGAGGGCCTGGAACACAGGAAGATGCAGAGGAAGTGAAAGAATTTTGAAACTAGGTTGCCATCTAGTTAGTGCCCTCAGAGGGCCCTTCTGGTGGGGAAGTGTGAGGGACTTAGGAGCAGGGCTGCTTAGAGTAGCCAGAGGCAAAGATAAACTCCAGCACTGGCGTTTGACATCTGGAGCAGCACCGGGAACAAAAATGTGATCCTTTCTTGCAATTTTAATCTTTTTAAAGTCTTCTGAGAAATGGGCAAAATAGTTTTCCCGAGTGCGGACGATATCCGTAAAATCTTGACTGCCTTCTACTGTTTCCTTTTGGAATATCCATACCAGTAACCTAGAAATCTAGTACCATACCAATGCAGACTAGTGATTTATTGCATAAGTAATAGACATAGAAAAATACATGTAAATAGTGGAATCCATCTTTATTTTTTTAAAAAACAGGAAAAGTAATCACTTTGTAGATGTCTTTGTATGTGAAGCCAGCCTAATTAATAATTGCCTGGTTGAATCCAATGTGAGATGAAGTCAAACAGACAAGAGGGTGAATCAGCAATTTATTTCAACCAACCATGGTATTATTTATTGAGCACTCAGCGTATGCCAGGCTTTTCAGAGAATACAGATGATGGGGAGGGGGCGTTATTTGGCATTTGTT